TCTCTCTCTCTCCCTCTCTCTCTCTCTTGATTGAACGAGTGTTTTCATCATTCCTTTTTCCATCTCTCTCTTCACACCAGTGCTTCTTCTTTCCTATCAAACATCTATCGTCCTTATCTCTCCTTCTTCTATTTTGTGTTTTTTACTCTGTTGTAACACCTCTAATCTTCTGGCACTCATATGACATTATGCAGTTGCGAGCGCCGTAAAACCTCTACTAAAACAAACCAACACCAGTGCCGGACAGTACAGAACTGGATGGAGATGGCTGACATCACCTACCTCACTGTCTCTTTCTCTCTCTCTCTCTCTCTCTCTCTCTCTCTCTCTCTCTCTCTCTCTCTCTCTCTCTCTCTCTCTCTCTCTCTCTCTCTCATCAATCTTTTCCCCATCTGTCTCCGCCCCAGTGCCAGACAGTGCAGAACTGGATGGAGGCGGCTGACGTCATGATATTCACCGACACGTCAGTGGCCCAGTACTTCACCGACAGCATCTGTGCCAAGATCAGGGAAAACATCCTCCGATTGTTCAAGAACGCTCAAAACGTGCTGGATGACTACGGTGTGTGTCTCGTGTTGAAGGAAACATACGTTGTTATTGATGTGAATCAGCCGAAACAGTGGGTGGTTGGCGGGTGCTCTGATGTGGTTTGTTCCTTCTTTCCTATCAAACATCTATCATCGTGATCTCTCCTCGATCCTTCTTTCTTGTGTTTGTTACTCTTTTGTAACACCTCTAATCTTCGGCACTTATGTGACCTTATTGTGTTGTAAGTGCCATAAAACTCTTACTAAAACTCAAACAGAAACAATGATTTATGTGTGTGTGTGTGTGTGTATGTGTGCGTGCGTGTGTGTATGTGTGTGGGCAGACATGTTTAGTGGACAATAGAGGTCCGTAGTTGCTGCTGTTATTTTGTCTCCGTTGTGCCTATCCACGACCCCGAGAAATGTGCTTTTCATCAAGGTCACCACTTTTGTCGGGTAACAGATGTTGTTGGTAGGTGGTTGACAGGTGCTCTGGTGTGGTTTGCTCCTTCTTTCCTATCAAACATCTATCGTCTTTATCTCCCCTCCATCTTTTTTGTGTTTGTTACTCTCTTGTAACACCTCGAATCTTCGGCACTTTTATGACGTTATTGTGTTGCAAGTGTCGTAAAACACTAACTAAAACTAACGATGACCTAATCATGTTGCAAGTGCTGTAAAACTCTTACTAAACCTACCTCCTCCCCTTAAATCAACAACAACAACAACATCAACCCCCGCCCCCCCCCCAAAAAAAAACCCAACCAAAAAACCCCCCAAACCCAACAAAAACAACCGTTTTCCTCTTCTGTTTCAGTTGAACATTACGGCCATCTGGTGAATGGAGAGACACAGGGTGCCATTGAGGAATACCTGACGTACGAACACACTTTCATGGACCATAAGCAGGTAACCCACGGATTAGACATTTCTCATATGAACTCTCTTTTATATTCAGGTAAACCCACGGATTAGCCATTTTTCATACGAACACACTTTCATGGACCATAAGCAGGTAACCCACGGATTAGACATTTCTCATATGATCTCTCTTTTATATTCAGGTAAACCCACGGATTAGCCATTTTTCATACGAACACACTTTTTTGGACCATAAGCAGGTAACACATGGGTTGGACATTTCTTGTACGAATACACTTTTATGCAGGTAACCCACGGGTTAGACATTTCTCATATGAACTCTCTTTTATATTCAGGTAAACCCACGGATTAGCCATTTCTCATACGAACACACTTTTTTGGACCATAAGCAGGTAACACATGGGTTGGACATTTTTTGTACGAATACACTTTTATGCAGGTAACCCACGGATTAGACATTTCTCATATGAACCCCCTTTCAAAGACCATAAAAGCAGGTAACCCACGGATTAGACATTTCTCATATGAACCCACTTTCAAAGACCATAAAAGCATGTAACCCACGGATTAGACATTTCTCCTGAGTGAGTCTAGTAAGCTGGAAAGGAACAAGATAAGATAAATAAGGTATGATAGGTAAGATAAGATAAGATTTTATTGAACTGCACAAAGAGAAAATTGCTGCTGCATGGTAAATATATACATGCACATGCGGTCTTCAATTCACACGCATATACGCATGCATACTTGCTCGCATGCACGTAAGTAAACAAGCACGCATGCACACACACACACACACACACACACACACACACACACACACACACACACACATACACACACACACACACATACTCACACACTCACACAGACACACACACAGGCATTTACACACACAATACACACACGTGCATGAAATGTCATTGGCTGGAAATATTATAACAAATATAAAGTGATGTTGTTCTCTCACATCTAGAAATGATCAAATACGGGACTTTCTTGTCATATTACAGATCTGTGGACACTGTGCATCCTGGTTTGTTTGAGCTGAAAATAGGGAAATAAGAGAAGCTCTGTTCACACACTATTACCTATATGAAATTTTAATTTTGGTAACATTATGAATAAACATGTTGTTGTTGTTTTCAAATCCCTTTAGCTGCGAGCATTTCGCTCTTGGCAGCGCAATGCCCCCCTCATGAACTAACATAGATGTTTTATTTTTAGAATACCTCCGGACTCTCGTATTTCAAGTGTAGAGAGTGTTCAAAAGAACCTTGGAGAGGTTGATAAAAGAATGTGGGGTTGATTTGTCAAGGCGCAAAATAGGTAAAGAATTTATCATCTCAACTACCCTCCCCCACTCACACACACACAATCACGCACGCACGCACATGCGCGCACACACACACACACGC